ACAAGCACAAGGCATATTGTATTGAACCTTCTTTTTCCTCTTAGTAATTAAATGCATTTTATCTAGTTCAAAAGAAATTTTCTTGTATATATATTTATGTATTTATACATATATAGGCATGAGGTATGCAACACCAATATGTTGTACAAATCACAAGGTTGGCTCACTAACATGGGCAATCGCCTTATTATGTTCTCATGGGACATAGAAGGTTTGACATCAAATGATCACCATGAGATGGTCAAGAAGAATCAATACATAAGTGTCGCCTCAGCTAGACTGAGATGAGACCCATAAAAGTCTTAGCCAAATCATAGATAATGTGCAATCCATGAGACCTGCAGCCAGACAAGGAACTTTTCACTTATAGGACATCATATATAGTTGTGATAGAAGAGATCCTAGTTCAGATATTAAAGTATATTTGGAACTTAAGTCTATATGGTGCTACTAAAACCAAAAGCGATATACTCCACTTAGTGGATCGAGCACCATAGCATGGAAATCATACTATATGAGCTCACTTAAATCCACAACATATCACGTAGATAGAAGATCCCTGATCTATTACGGTGTGAGTACCGAAAAGGAAATAAACCTTTTATAATGTCCTTAAGACTTAGACACTGTTAGGATTAAGGTTTTGATGATAACAAAGTGAGTAAATTGTGATTCAGCATGTTGATCGATCATTGATCGATCAAGGTTTTATCGATAAGCTGATAGATAACAACTCTGTTTAATTAAGTAAACTCAACAGAAATTTTGATCGATAACGTGTTAGATAATGTGTTGATCAATCATTTGATCGATTATTCTTAGTTGCATATGAAAATTATTGATCACTTGATTGATAATCAGAATACAAATTTAATAGGTGTTTATCGATCACATGATCGATAAACTAATTATCGATGAGAAGACAGATAAATGGTAACACACTTTACTCATTCTATGTTTTGTTTTTATCGCCATTTATCAATCACATTATCGATCAACCATTTATCGATAATATGATCGAATATTGCCTCATAACTTTTCGTGCAGGAATTTATTTCAGTGGCTTATCGATCACCTGATCGATAAGAACATTATCGCACATGATCGATAATCAACTTATCTTTGTCACATCGTGGCTCCTCGATCACTGGATCGATAATCTTATCGATAACCACCCTTCATGTTTATGTTGTTTTCACATAACTTGATCGATAAATCAGCTCTTTTGTTTTACAAGAAAAGACCTCTTTATCGATAACATTATTGATCAACCCTTTATCGATCATCTATTTAATCAACTTATATAGTCTGTGCTTTCACAAAATATACTTTTGCCTACTGTTTATCGATAAGGTTATCCATCATCTGTTCATCGATAAAGTATTCGATAATTAGTGTTTCAAAAGTCATTTCTTTAACACTCTATTTATCGATAACTTGATCGATCAACAAGTGTTCGATCACTTGTTCGATCATGAGGTGATTTTAGTTTAAACCTTAAGTCTCAATGTTTCTTAAAATTTATCATATATTTCATTTGAGCTTTTCTCAGCCTTCATAAATGTCTTGTTTCACTATTTAAAGAGTGTCAAAATCAAAAGCAACCTTGATCTTCATTGTCTATGCATCATAGTATGATATCACTATTTCCCTTTATCGATCACCTGACTGATAAACTGTTGATCCATAACTTGATCGATAATCTTAGTTCTCTGGTTCAAAAGTCTTCACTCAGAATAATCGATAACCTGATCGATCAAGTAATAATCGAACATCACTTCGATCAAGCACGTTCAGTTACTACCCAGTGCATCTGACAACTGATTGATTCTAACCATAAGCTATGAATATTCGATTATCAGTTGTTTGAATCTACTCTTGATCTTATTCTACGAAGAATAAACTTATTGAATTAATGTAATTTTGCAAATTACGAAGAAAATCCCAATGGCACTCCAACGGTTGTCCAAGTAGTCTGTAACCTACCTTGTTAGAAGCATTAATAGCGGAAACCGTTGCAATTGGAAAAACACGCAACCAGACTTACAATGGCTAGAAGCTCTTCTGTCTAACGGTTACTAAACGACTTCAACTATAAAAGACGCGAAGAAGCATTAATTGAATAGATTGAATACGCGAGCTACCCTCTATTGATTTTTACTGTTGCATTCAATACTCTGTTCTTTCATAACTCTGAGCGTCAGTGATTATCATTTATTCACTCTGTAAGAGAGTTTATTTACTACTCATTAATCACGTTTGTGTGATACTCAAGGGTGTGGACTCTTGAGTGGGGTTGTAACCTTACGGGAAGTAAGGGGGAGTGATTGAGAGCTTCAATTACTGTACTGAGGTGCTAAGAGCCCGATCAATCTTGGAACATAGTGAAATACTTAGAGGTGTTCTGAGGATTGGACGTAGGTCAAGTGGTTGAGACCGAACCAGTATAAATCTTGTATCTTCCTCTCTACAGTGAAATCATTCTAAACTCACACTCTCTATTTCCGATAATTCTTTGTTTTAATTTCGTAAATTTTTATAACTCACCCAATTCACCCCCTCTTGGGTGAGACTGCCACTAACAGACACATCACAAGGGTCTGGTTTAGTAACAACTATTCTAGCTTAAACCCCACAGTCAAGAATAATTCAATCTAACGGGTCAAGACTGGGAAAGCATCTATGCTAAATCTAAATGATGAATAGCCAGAAGGAAGATTTATTCTAAAGTACACATTTATACTAGTTTCTGTGACATGTCCCTTGCAGGTTGAATAGAACAACTAAGCAAGTGTGAATACCATGCTATAGGAAGGCAATCTGAGTAAGAAAATAACTCGAGAGGAATTATATATGCCATAAGAAAAGTGTATGGATAAAACTAGGGCATACGAGCCAACAAACATATCATTTGGAGGTACACCTGGGTGTCCCTGTGCACTGATCCCAGAGAACAAAAAACTAGACTGAACTGGCCGGTTCAACCAAAAAACTAGTGAATTAGCTAGTGATTTGATTTGGTTTGGATGTTAAACTGGGGGGTGAGTTAAACTGGCAGCAAACTGGTCAAACTAGAGTGAACTGGTAAAAACTGGTGTGAACTGGTAATGAACCAATTTGGATGATTATGTTGTTATTAGTCCTATTTTTCCTCATTTAACTCCTAATATTTAAGTCCCTATAGATTTAAATGAATTTTAATGATGATTTTGCTATCAATGATTATTAATTTTAGTTAGTAATAAACCATAAAGATCAAAATTCTCAATATTAATATACTTTATTATTGTTACAATCAAACTATTGTTATATTTCCTTATATTTTATTATTAGTGACTATTGATATTGTTATATTTTGTTATTTTTAATTAAATTATATTATTTTAATATGATCAATTGAACCCTGAGTTGACCCAGGTCTAACTAACTAACCCTTAAACCATTACCTTAACCGGTTTAGCGTCTGGTCCGGTTTTTATTCCTTGGCTGATCCTGTAAAAAGGACTCCTACTACACAAGCACCCAAATCGAGGATGTCATGCCCACGTGGTCACGACAGACACCTAGTATGAAGCAATGAAAGATATAGCTATTGCACGATGGATAGCCCATTAAGTACGAGTAGGAGATGTTGGATTTTGGGCTTGGATTCGCCCCTAATGGACTAGACTATTTGACTGGATATTAAGAGAATATACTGGTCAAATATCTAAACAAGATTATGATATGTTTGACTCGGTCAAACATCCTGAATCAAATCCAATCAATTATGATGTAAATTTAATCAATTTATATTATATAGATTAAATATATATATTTTTAGAATTGATTACGATTGATTCTGGATTTGAATTCAAAAATCATAATCTTATAAGTCAAAGATATATTTGAATATCTAAATTTAAATTCAAACTGATGGGTTCAGTGGATATTTTGGCTTCCCAAAATATCTCTGGCCAAAGTCATAAATAGAGGCTTCTACCCATCAGTTTAATTCACTCCAATAGTTGAGCTTTTCTACTCTCTCTCTTATTGTTTCTTACAAAGAGGTGCTACGCTGTGCACTCAAAGCTTAGACTTTTATGGTCTAGCTTATAGCGGGAGCTTAGAGGATCCAACTGACCCGACCCGAGATCTGACTTGATGCATTTCCTGGTCCTTGTTTATTTTATCTGACAGATGCAAAAGACTGCCACTTGGACCAATCATAAGACTGCTACAGGGTTTATAAGTTATATAGATTAGTAAAATTGTATTTAATGTTTAGAAAACTCGAATAATTAATTATAAGTAATTTTAGTAAATGTTTAGATAATCCCATACAAGTCTTATAAAAATGATGGGAGAAAATGTTATTTTGTAAAATATGTGGATCTTTTGTTTTTTTTTGTTTTGTTTTTAGCCAACAGGTCGATCTTTCTATTTCATCTTAATTACATATAACTTGTTTATTATTGGAAAATTTTTTTTAAAAAATCCTAAAATTATCATTTTTTAATTTAGGCTAAGTGATTAAAATGCCTTTGTATTAGATTTAAAATAAAAAAGCTATTAAACTTGTTATTACTAGTACATTTCTTGTCATTAATTATTCAACACTTATTATTGCCAATTCATAACTTGTTAATAAATAATTTGTCATTACTAATATGTTTTTTGTCATTTGGTTGTTCAACACTTGTTATTAGTAGTTTAGAATTTGTTAATAAACTTTTTAATATAAAGACATTTTATTTATTTAACTACATTTGTAAAATACCAGATCAGATACCATTTGTTTCTCTGTCATTTTTAACTCTTACATGTCTAATTTAGAATATCATATTTTTTGATTTCTTTATTTATCATTTTTTAATTATTTTATACAATACATGTTTATTTGAAAACATATATTTTAATCCATGGATGCCTACATAAAAGGTCTGATGATATGAATGTCGCTGAACGTCCAGGTAAAGATTAAAAAAGGGACGGCATGCCAATTCCAAGTGGAAATTTGGTTCTTGTGGGATGCAACGCGTAGCCGAAGCGGATTCTTCCCGTTGCTGCGGTTTGAGTTTATAACCTTCACCTGCCTTCGGCATCGTCTGCTTCACTCTTTCTCCCTTTCTGAAGAATCAAACGCGCAGCCAAATTCTGCAGGGGCTGCGTTCTGTTAAGGGGTCTCGCTTTGTGGCTGTACTACGAGGTACACTATAATCCCACTTCACATTCCTCTTTCGCGTTTTCTCTTCTGTGTCCTTAGTGCTTCAGAAATATTGTTTTAGAGACGAGGGGTTGCTGATTTCATACGTATTGGTTCATGCACGCACGCATTGCAGTTCCTCCCAAAATGGTTCGAGTGTAGGGTTCGATGATTCTTGGTTTATGAATGTTTTTCATTCCTCGACCCGATTTTATATTTTATTTCCTACAGCGATGCCGTTGACTGTTATCTCGAATTATCGTCGTTTACCGCTTTTAGTTCTTGGGGAGGGCTTTGATTTGATTATAAACTTCTATGGCTGTGTCTCAGTGGGAAATAGTAGTGTTTATTTTGGCCAAAAAATCTTTACTTGTTTAGTGTTTCGTTTGTGCATGCAGAGAGAATTTGGGGTGAATAGGGGTATGGCGTCTTCGGATGATGAGGCCAAAGTTCGTCCACAATCTGTGTCAAATTACCATTTGGAAGATGATGAGAAAGAGCCTGTTTCATTTTCTGTATTGCCAATTCAATGGAGTGAATCTGAGGATACAAATGGCGAAAGTGGGCAAGTGTCCCAGGTTTTACTATCCCTTGTCATAAACAGTTTGCTGGTGAACTGTGAAATTAGAATTCATTCTTCTCTTCGTCATTCCTCAATTTTGAAACACTTATGTAATAAATATGGTTTGGAACTAGATTCATTTGTTTTTCTTTCTACTTAAAATAATTGCTGCTTGATAGAAGAATAACCTTATTTTTTCTTATTAAACTGTTGTCTTGGGATGTAAAGACTAAACATGCTTGGGTCGTGGTAGCAGATGCAAGACTTTGAAATTTCAAGAGACTGTGTGTATAAACATATCATGCAAGTTAAAACAAGGCATAAATAAATATATATAAAAAATACTGCAGTTAGGGCAGAGTTACAGGGAAATGTGCCATAGTGCAATAACAGAGAGGGTTACATTAGCAATTACAGCAATAAAGGTGGGTCCCAGTCATTTAAGGGCAAGAGAGTCTTCTTATCCAGAACCCAACATTCCACAATAAATAGTTTACTTTGGGTATGCAAAAATATATGCAAAAAATGCTAGGGAAGCTATAAATGTAAGCATCAAGCGATTCAAAACAGAGCTCCCAACCTTTTTGATCGTTGGATTCTGTCAGCATCCACTGTTACTCCTCCTAAGCTATCATTGTATGCTCTTCCTTTTCAGCCGCCTTTAGTTTCTTCTCCCTCCTCGTTCTTTATTGTCTCTGTTTGCTCCTCTTGGGTATGAGATAGCTTCGCTGTTTATGTTTCAGTCACTTGGCTGAAGGACTTTGCACACATCTAATTTGAATATCTTATTTATTAATCAAAGGATACATATAGGACGTCAAAACTCTATGATGCGTCAAGGTGTCTGCAAATCTAAACAGATTTTATCCAATTTGAATATCCTATTTAATGTTCTAATTAGTAGATAAAAATATCGTAAACTAAGAGATTTGGGCGATGCCTTTGGGCCTCAAAGCTTGCTATGCATTATCTTCCAGCATGAGCTCTGCCAATAATAAATAGCATAATAGATTAAAATAATAGGATAAATGGAGATAAATGAAACTCAGGGTAGTGGAGTGGACTTGGGCCTTTGGGCATTCAACAGAATGTTGCGTAGTTCATTGGTTTCTGTGGTTCTGTATGTTTTGGTGAAGCTCAATTTAATAAATATATGATTATTTTGCTTTGTGTAACAATTATGTGCTCATTAGTAAAATTATATTGAAATATCTGTAGTGTTCCTTCTGCTATCCTTATATGTTGGAGGTTTGAGGATTTGATCATGGGAAAGTCATTATTTGGTTTTAGAAAGAACTTTAATATGGTCAGGTGCAATTATTTCGGGGATATTCCCATTCTTACAGCCAATTAATGATCCAAAAATCTCATGAAGAAAACTTTTTCCCATTAATCTCTCTCAACTGTGTTAACTAGCTTGTTGAAGAGATGGGCACACTTATTGTTTATTATTTTTATTATTATTATGCATAGGTTTAAACTGTCACTTCATTATCTCTTTTTCCCCCTTGATCAAAAAGCAGATTGCTACTATGTCTATTTGTACATAGATGGGTATTATTAGAAGCTTGCTCAAGCCCTTCATTGTTAATATGTGACTGCATGATAGTGATCTGCTATTAATCCATTATAATTGTTTGGTTATTATTCTAGTAAGGAAGTGCTATACTCAATTTATTTTTTATTGCAGATGATTTTTTTAACGGGTCATTAATATGGCAATAGATGTTAGAATCAATCTCACCCAAGAGGGGGTGAATTGGGTGAGTTACAAAAATTTAGAATTAAAACGAGACAGTATTGAAAAACAGAGAGTCAGAGTCAGGAGAGATTTCACTGCAGAGGGAAGACACAAGATTTATACTGGTTCGGTCTTAATGATTTGACCTACGTCCAGTCCTCAGAACATCTCTGAGTATTTCACTATCTTCCAAGATCGACAGGGCTCTTGGTGTCTCGGTACAGTAATTGAATCGCTCAATCACTCCCCCTTACTCCCGTAAGGATACAAGCCCTCTCAAGAGTCCACACTCTTGAGTATCACTCAATAGTAATTAATGAAGAGTAGTTATCGACTCTCTTACAGAGTGAAATTAATGATGAACACTGACGCTCAGTAGTATTGCGGAAAACAGAGTATTGAATGCTAGACTTAATAATCACAGGTGGTAGTTCCGGTATTCCATCTCTTCATTAATGCTTCTTCGCGCCTTTTATAGTTGATATCGTTAAGTAGTCGTTAGACGGAAGAACTTCTAGCCGTTGTGACTCCGTTTGCGTGTTTCGCTGGTTTCAACGGTTCTGCCATTAATGCGTCTGAGCTTCTGACACTGTAGGTTGCAGTCTACGTAGTCCCGTTGAAGAGCCGTTGTATTCTTTCTCAGTAATTTGCATATTTTAAGCTTTAAACAAGTAAGTCTTGCGGTGTAGGCTTTAGTCATGAACAAAGAAGAGATAACGAATTTATCATTCAATGATTTTGGACGAAGTGATTTATCTGTAAAAAGAGCAGAAAAACATTTTGGATATGCTTGATCGAAGTGGTGATCGATTACTTGTTGATCAATCAGGTTATCGATAAATAGAGTGAAAGCTTTTTGAATCAGTTCATCAATATTATCGATCAAGTGTTGGATCATTGACTTTAAGAATTATCATGGTAAACGGAAATCGTTCCATGATCGAACAAGTGATCGAACACTTGTTGATCGAACAGATTATCGATAATTCAAATGTTACAGAAATGAAACTTCAGTCATTGATGATCGAACAAATTATCGATAAATGGATGATGGATAAGGTTATCGATAAACCATGAGTAAGAATATATTTAGCGAAAAACACAGTCTATCTGGAATGATCGAACAGGTGATCGATCAATGAATATTCGAACAAGTGATCGATAAAGTGAGAAAAGAAATTTAATCCTGTAAGGTAAAGAAACTGATTATCGATCACGTTTTGTGAAAACATGAGTTTCAGGAAATTGGATGATCGATCATATTATCGAAAAGTCAATGATCGATTAGGTGATCGAAAAAAATGGTTCAACATAAGTTAATGTGAAGATAGCAATACTTAGACTCTTTATCGATCAAGTTATGTGAAAAGGTACTATGCAGACAAGATAAATTATCGATAATGTTATCGATAATTTGGTTGCAGAAAAACTAAATATGAGTAGATAAAAACATTGATTATCGATCATGTGATCGATAACTTTCTGATCGATAATGTTATCGATTCAGCAGTTATGATGGCTTCTTGCATCCAGAGGGTTAGAGCATAATGTTCGATTATGTGTTTGATAAGTAAATGATCGAAAATATGATGGATAACAGAATTAATATACAGAACGAGTAGAGTGTTACCTCTTATCGAATTCGTTATTGATAACTGATTTATCGAACATGTGATTGATAAATGCACTTCAGATTTGGCTCTCTTTATCAATAACTCAATTGTTTATCTGATGTTATCGATCAGTTGATCGATAATTAACCGTAACCTTTTGTGATTTCCATGTTAATGATAATCGATCATTTTATCGATTAACCACTTATCGAATAGTTCTTCGATCAAAATACCTACTATAAAACTGATTTACACTTGAACACTTATCTGTAACCTTAGCGATAAACGTTTGATCGATCAGATGATCGATCAACATACTTAACTCAATTAATCTAACTTTGTTATCATCAAAACTATAATCCTAACAATAGATACTTCATTCCGTCTTTTTCCCTTACATGCTTTCCCTTCACAAGATGCTTTTTGGCATTGGCTCTAAAATTTGCCATAACATTTTCCAGTGACCTTTTGTAGGATAAATGGATAGTGTATCTTGCACCTATTTCATATGGTAAATGATACACATCCCACGGTCGCCATTTTACACAAGTGGAAAAACTTGAAGAGGTATGAACTCATGCTTCTACTCAACTTAATCTCATCAATCACTGTGCACCTTAAATATTTTCTTGTAATTATTGTGTTTGTGCTTTCATATTTCTATCCGTTTTTTTGTTCACTCACACTCTTTGTGAGTGATGTTAGATTAGGTTGGGCAAAACATACTGAATTGCATGTATGATTGCTATTTCCATTTAGTATTGTTCATTTCAACGTGCAGCCTATGAATGGGTATTGTAAATTTTGTGTAAAATAGGTATTTTGTTCTATATAATTAATGTCCAGCAACAAAGTGATGATATCTGGAGCTGGGAAATAAAATTACGAGGGCTGGGCTTGTGATTTTGCTGCTCAAATTGAAAACGGGTCTAAAAAGGCCAGCCCTAATGGGCTGAATGCCTAAACAGGCCGGCCCTGCAAGTAACCAATCTAGTCAACCAAACTTGTTTTTACCCATCACGAACAAATAAACGCTGGCAGCCTATTGTATATAGTTTTGTCTATTAAGGCGGTGTATAGTTATGGAGACAAGGCTCTTGAGGGCCAAGGTCATCGGCATTTAGTCCTGGGCTGTTTATCATTCCGCTGATACCATGAAGGCTGAATAATAATTCTTATTGCTTGCTCAATCAGAGTGTACAGCGGAAACAAATAGGAAAAGAGAGGCAACCTAAGAGAAGGGAATCTCCAAGATAATAGGAGATATTCTAGCCTAGATAATGTGAGAATCAAAATTTAAAAACTAAAACATAGTAACTACCTAACTAAACAGACTTGCAGCAAAGGAAAAAACCTAGGACTAAACCCAGGGTTTTGAGCCCAAGGCCCATTAGAGTTCGGCTCTAACAATGTTCATTCCTTGTGACTTCATACCAAATCTCCCTATATAGATATACTACTTGGCCTGCGTGAAGATATAGCGAGAGAAGAATTTAGTGTAAATCTAGGTCAAATCTAGTCAACATAAGATAAGGATGAATGCTGAAATAATATAACAGTAGTGAATGTGATGATAATCATAGTAAGATAGATGGGATAAGTAATCTAAATAAGGACAAATATTAATAAATCAGACTACAAAGCATATTGAAAAAAATGTAAAGAGAGAAACCCTGATCAAGAGATGCTGAGGTTGTTTAGCTCATGATGTGTTTGGTGTGAGATCCCGATGGCGGGCCTAAATAGGTAAACAGAAACAGTAAATACTAAGCTATCAAGCCCTCAAGCTGAGCATATAAACCATACAATTCCAATTTTATTACCAGTGTATGTGATTTGTGCCTCTCGTGTTAATTTTTTACGTGATTTTGCTTTATTTATTGATTGCAATCTAATCTAGGATCAAACTTAACATTGTTGGTAATAAATTTATCACTGATTGCAACATTGCCAATTCTTTGAACTTCCAATCTTTCACCATAAGCAACTTTAACAGTTTTATGACCAGAACAAGGCTGAAGTTCCTAATATGTGTGGCATTAATAGTCATATGATCTGCTTCTAACTCTGCAATCCAAACTTCATGATTTGAGCTTTTAATAGTCTCTGTTTAGTTTCGTATACCATCTGTATACATTTTAAAATTTATAATTACTTCCATTAAAATTTTACAATTCATTATTACATCTATTAAATACTACTTAAAGGTTCATTCTTGTGTGTGCAGATTGTTGATAGGCGCCATTGGTATGTCCAAGGTGGTGATATGGTAAGTATTTATATTGGTGTGTTTATTTGGCCCTTTTTTTAAAAATTTAATTTGCATATTTTTTCCCGTAGCCATGATCAGATTTTATTTGAATGAACCATTGCTTTGTGTATTTTTCCTTTTACATAAGGGTTTTAGATACCTGAAATTTTTAGTTTGGTTCTTTAAATCTCAAGAGGACCTGACATTATAATGCTGTATCTTCATTTTGAGTTGTAGTAGGAAATTTCTGCTAATCAATTGATTTCTTTCGATTTTGTTCCTGTTCTACTTTGGGGAGTAGTTGCTGCTGACATCTAACTATCCTCGGCTTCCTTGACAATTGACATGATTTTTGTTCTTAATTTAAATAGTCTATTAGTAATCTTTTGTAACTACCGTAAATCTTTGGACGATTACTTAAGAACTTGGTTCTATTTTTCATTTTGTTTTTGTACATTTATATACTTAAGAACTTGTGAATTTTATTTATGCTATTAGTCGTAAGAACTATAGATCTTTGTTTTAAAAAAAAAAAAAAAAATCCATAGCGGTGGTTTTATATAGTTGTCTTTTATTTGCATTTTTTATTCTGTAAATTAATTTGTTCTTTGCCTTTCTTTTACTCTCAAAATGCATATGCACATTAACTACTATTATTTAGTGTTGAATATCTCATTAATATTTACTGATGTTCAGATTGTGGACTTCTGCTATGGTGCTAATTTTTTTAGCATCCTGATGAACAAAAAGCTGGAAGAAACAGGGAAGAAATGCTTTTACAAAAACCACGATTCACTTCCAACAAAGGTGAACTTGCATTTGGGAGTTTGTTATGGCATATTTCTTATAATTTAGTATAAATCATGATGCCTTTCGACAAAATCAGCTAAGAACTCTAAGTCTGTTACTATAATTGATTGAAATAGTGTATATAAAAAGGCAACAAGCCTGCCTCTTTAGCTTTAGATAGATAAATCTAAAGCTATCTAATTATCTCTAAAAAGAATAAGATAAATAAAACTGATTAAATGAAGGACAAAAGGATAACAAATAAATTCTACCAATTAAATAGGATAAGAGCAACATGTTAAAACCCTAGAGAAAGTGCGATGACTTCCATGGGCCTTGGGCTTGTGGCTTTTAACGCATACCCTCTAGCCAAGAGGTAGATATTCTCCATGCTTAGCTTGCCAATAAGTGTTTCAAAATCCACAAGGAAGACTCCTTGTGAGTAGGTTGGTTACTTGAGCTTTAAGGTATATATGATACTATCCCCTTGCCTTAACCTTTTTGGTGATAAACTGGCAGTCAATCTCCACATACTTTGCCCTATCTCAATGTTTGAAACTATCCATGAAGCCTTCGCTCACCTAGATTGACATGCTGTCCCCTTGCCTTAACCTTTTTGGTGATAAACTGGCAGTCAATCTCCACATGCTTTGCCCTATCTCAATGTTTGAAACTATCCATGAAGCCTTAGCTCACCTAGATTGACATGCTGCAATGGAAGAAGAGATGATGGCCCTTGACCCTGCTAGTACTTGGACTGATGAAGGTTGAGTAACTTACGTCTTAGCTTCATATTTTATTCAATGAATAAGAGTCTACATATACAGCGCATTGAATACCCAAAATTAGCTAGGGTAAATCAGAAACTAAATCCTAGATAATGATAATATCATATCTAATCTATTAATTAGATAAGAAAAGGATAAGATAAGTAAAATAAAATATAACACATTTGAATATTTTGAAACTAGTTGGATGAAGCTGGTGGGCTCTCTTTTTGGACCTTAAAGCCTTGCCTTCAACACACTCTCTCAAATTGGCAAATAGATGTCCATCATTTTGAACTTGCTTATCGGCTCTTCATTCCTCTCAGTTGCTAAAGCTTTAGTTACAGTACCAGCTATTTGCTGCTAACTATTGGGGATGTATATCACTTCAATCACCTTTGCATCAGTCTTCTCTTTGATGAAATGGCAGTCAATCTTCATGTCTTTCATTTTATCGTGGTGAATTGGATTCTTGACAATCCAAATAATCACCATATTATCGCTAAAACGTTTCATAGGACTCAAGATTTATTTTTAGCTTTATCAGTCTTTTGAGCTAGATCCTCTCATAGATCTCTAGAGCCAGTGCTCTAAGTTCTAATGCAATGCTGTTGCATGACACTACTGATTGCTTCTTGCTTTGCAAAGTCACTAAGTTACCTCAAACAAAAATGCAGTAGCATGAACTTGATCTTCTTTCAGTAATAGGGCCTCCTAACTAACATTAGTGTATATTTTGACCTCCCTGTGTAATTTTTTTTCCTAAAAGAAAAATCTGTCTCAGGGTTAATTTCAGATAATGCAGAGTTCTATAGATAGTTGTCAAATGCTTTTTATTTGGCTCATTTGAGAATTGACTTATCATGCTAATCGCATAGGCTATGTCTAGTTTAATGTGAGTGAGGTAAATTAATTTCCTAACAAGTCACTAGTACCTACCCTTGTTAATTGGAGTTGATGGTCGCAAATTTTTTGGGCTTCTTTTTGTTATCCTTCTTTTTCTTGTTTAAGTTCATGAAGAAAACTTTTGATTTGAAATAGGACTATTGTATTTGAAGCAGAAGAGTACAATTCCAAAGCAGTGTCCCAAATATCATAGTACACAAACATGAACTTGCATCTAATGCCAAGCGTCATAGAGTGAACCAACCATGACATGACTTGATTGTTCTCTACTCGCCATGTTGCTAGTTTTGGATTCATAGGATGAGAGGCAAGGCTTTGACATCAAGATACTCCTCTTTACATTTGTCTCAAATGAACATGAGAAAGGATTAAGATCATTAGAGCTAATTGTCTTTGTTATGTTTATAACCAATAATTAGATTGGATAAGTTGTTTGAACTCGATGGCTAGGATGTGCTACTAGGGTGATTGTCGATGCCATAGGTTCAATATTAAACACTTTGTACCTGCCAAATTGAGGCGTGTTGGTCATGAATGCAAGGAGGGGAATAGAACGAGTGCACATAAAATAGAAGTAGAGAACTTATCTCAAGAAGTTCATAGGGGAAGAAGGAGTGTGTGCAAGGCTTTGTAGCTGTGTTGATGCATAGATAGAGGTGTAGGATAGTTGAAATGGAGAAGATGATGTGTCTTTGTGAAGCTTTGACCTTCTTCATAGAACAGACGTGTATAGGAATGAACATGTGCAAAGCAGAACGCGACCAAGAGACATGAATTGGAACACATACTAGAAGGAGGGTGTGAGGGCAGAGTCGCACAAATTGGGACAATCATGGGAAACATTTCGCGTGCATTGATTGTTTTAGTGTAGTTGACTCTCAATAGGATTGTATAATTCGTGAGTTTGATACCATGATGAAAGGCTGAGTAATTCATATATTGACTTCATATCTTATTCAATGAATAAGAGTCTAGATGTATGGGGCACTAGATGCCCAAAAATAACTAGGGTAAATTTGAAACTAAACCCTGGATAATAATAATATCATATCTAATCTATTAGATAAAAAAAGAATAAGTAAAATAAAACAAAATACACTTAGTATGTTTTGAGCTAGTAGGTTGTCTTTTTTGGCCTCGAAGTTGTACTTCCAACGTAGGCTTTTGTGAATTTACTATAGTGAGGTATGTCATTCGGTATAAATGCATGCTTGCTGACAAAACATAGGCTGATGGTACTCTTAATTGTCTTAAGGCACGTCTTAGTGTTAAGGTTATGCACAAACCCATTGGGTTGACTACTCTAAACTTTCTCATCCATTGCAAAGCCTTTTTATTTTTTTATTTTTTATTTTTTGTGGCTCACCTCTTTATCTCAATGGCAGCTACTTATGGCTAGGACCTCCACCAATTGGATATAAAAAATGCCTTCTTACATGGGATGGTGATCTTCACGGAGAAGTCTCCATGGAGCAACTACCAGACTTTGTTACTTTGGGGGATCATGGGAAAGTATGTTGCCAAAAAAAAAAAAAAAAGTCTTTATATTGCTTAAAGTGAAACCCCTATATATTGTGGTTAAAAAAATTGCCATGAATAAAAGTATGACCATTCTCTGTTCTATCAAAGAATAGATGCTAGCATGATTCTCCAAGTCATGTATATTGAGGACATTGTCATTGCAGGTAGCAACACCTCGAGAATTCACTGCTCAAATGCATTTTGCACTTTGATTTCCAAACAAACGATGTGATTCCATTAATGTATTTCCTAGAAGTTGAGGTTTTGAGGAGTGAGAAAGGCATTTTACCTTCACTGAGGATATATGTTCTCGATTATAGAAGGAAACATGAAAGCCAGGATCTATACCATGTACTTTCTCTATGATCTCTAATCCACACCTTGATGTTGATAAGAGCAAATTATTTGAAAATTCTAAGAGGTTTTGGAAACAAACTGGGAAATTGATTTATCTCACGATGACTCAACTTGATATCACCTACCTGATGTGCTCAGTCAGTTCATGGCGTCACCATCTATTAATCAGTGAAAAGCTTTAGAGCATGTCTTATATTAGGAACCTAGGCCGTGATGCATTGTATAGGAATTATGTTCACAGGTATTGTATGTCTTTTCTTATGCGGATCCACAGCTGCTAGACGATACATTATGTGATATTGTCTTTATGGGTGGAAATTCGGTGTCCTAGAAGTGTAAGAAACAAAATGTGGTATGATGGTCTGGTGTAGAATTAGAGTACAGAATCGTGGCATAACCTATATGTGAGATAATGTGGACATATCAATTATTGAAGGAGGTTGGCATTAAAACCTCATTATTGGCGAAGCTATGGTGTGATAGTCATGCTGCTTTACACATAACTTCTAACTCTGTTTCATGAATGCACAAGGCATATCAAGATTGATTGCACTTTATTTGGGTTAAGATTCAAGAAAACTCTATTTCTACTGGACGTGAGGACTAGAGATCAATTGGGTGATCTTTTCACAAAATTCATAATAGGGCTCGCATTGACTATCATTGTTACAAGTTGGGCATTATTAACATTTATATGCCAACTTAGGGGATACTGTAAATATAAGAATATTCTGATTGTTGTAGATAATGTAATCTGTGTCATTATTATAGGATCTGATATTATTTCGTGAGGATACTATTCCATCATATAATCTCTGTATAACTTCATATGATGAAAATAAGCGGAATATGTGTTATATATGTAAAGGGGTTGGCAATTTCACAAATTCCCAGCGCATATAATTTTCTACCTAATGGAATTCTCTCTCATATTCATGTACCATTGACAAGGTAGCTAAGTGCTAGACAGATCATTCTTCTGGCTGGTCCCTCATCCTCTCCTGTCTTATTCTTATTCTTTAAGCAGAGACATTTATGAAATCAATGATATCCCAACTCACTTTCAACATAGCCAGATTCTTGTTGAAGCTACAAGTAAACTCTACTAGTTTCTTTTCTACTTTGAATGTCCTTATAGATACTCAACTTTCTGTGGGAGTTTTTGGGCTTGGACTAATTGGGTGCAATGTCTACCCCATAAGAAAATATTAATGGATATGTCCTTGTTACTTGGAAGAGAGTGATGTTGGAAATTCTTATCCCGTCAAGTGTCAATGCTTCACATTTCAAGGGATTTGCCCTTTCCTTGTAGACTGTGGAAAATATTCATGTCAGTTCACAGCATTTAATTAGGTGGATGCATGAGTTAGATATCATAGCTCAACTTCATTTGTATGTGTAGCATGAGTACAACAACAATAATAAAGCCTTATCCCACTAGATGGGGTCAGCTACATGGATTGCATGACGCCATTGAGCTCTTTTGATCGACATTGATATTTTTGAAGCCAAATCTTTGGATATATTATTATTTGAGTGTAGCATGAGTACCTATTCATAAAAAAATTGACCACGTCTCTTTTGATCGACATTGATATTTTTGAAGACCTGAAAATTGTTGATATCACAAAGTGAAATCTATTTATCATTTGGTGAACAAATGTGAAAGTTGCTGAGTAGTTTTGAAAGCTATAATGCTTTTAGATAGTTTATGGGGATGATGTTTGGAAAAATGCTAGAGCTTCCGTGAAATTTCTCACTGTTCCCCTGCTAACTCGTTTGTGGTGAATGCTGATATAATCTAGGATCTATCTTTGGGTCTTGCTTATGTTAATTTGAGTTCTTAATCATGTTTTTTGTGTGTCTTTGTTTTAACAGAATGATTTTATTTTGAAATGAGGAACTGGATGGATGTCAAACTGAAGGAGTTGCCTATGGGTTCAAAATTGGTGAGAATTCTTGCATCACATGGTTTAATGTGTAAATTCATAAGGGTCAATCACAAGTTTGTTCCCTCCATATTTTCCGTTTATGCTGGAACAGATTATGGGCCTCAATCCCCCTTTTGGTGTTCATGGAAAAGATGCTAACATGTTTGTCAAGAAGGCTCTTGAGTTTCAACCTAAACTCCTCATTCTTATTGTTCCTCCAGACACAGAAAGGTATTTGTCTTCCAACCCTTCGCTGCCACCAACTTTTCTTTTCCCTTTCTCAAGACAAATGATGTTTCCTTACATACTGAACAAAACAAGCCTTTTGTTCTGTTTGTCACATTCTTCCCTTTTCTGCAGGCTAGATAATAATCAACCTCCATATGATCTTGTTTGGGAGGATAAGAACTTCCTGTTAGGAAAGGTAAATTAATGATTTCTTTTAGTAATTATTGCGGTGAATTTTTAACTTTTCAATAATAAATGTTCTTTCATGGCTGACAGAAGTCTGATTCCCTTTTCTGTACTTTCCCTCTAGTCGTTTTATCTCCCCGGACCACTTGATGTTAATGGGAGACAAATGGATCAATAGAACATGAGGGGACCTATACCTTATCTTTGGAGTCGTCATGATTGGACTAATAAACACAAGGCGATAGCCCACAAGCATGCTAATGTCCCCAGCGAATGTGATGCGCTGATAGAAAAGAGATTTGATGAAATCTCACTTGCTGATCATATTATGAATGGTAATCATGGCGACAATCTCACACTCGGTCATGACCTTCCCCCCAAAGCAAGACTATGATCCCAAAGATAGTCGGGTTTCAAGGAAGGAGGGTGAGGAAGAAATCTCGTCTCATGATCTTGCCTTTGGGAATCATGTGGTACGAGAACACTGCTCAATAAATCTTTGAGAGAATGTTCGCTATGAATATGCACTTGAGAATGTTTTTTTGTATCTTCTCCATGTGTTCTCTTACTTCATTCAATATCACTTCTACCTGTAGCGCAGCTTTGAAGTTGTCTGTTAGATGCAACCGTTGGAACTTCTGTAGAGCATTAAATGAAACTTTCCGTTGAAGTTTCAGTCCGAAGTGGTTGGATGCATTTAATGCCTCTGATAGGAGTACTTTTAGATCTTAATCTTGTTAAATCTCAAATCTTTCTTTGAACTCCTGCAAAGAGTGTTATAATCTTTCAGTTCATAACCCATACTGGATTCAAGTTAGATTTGACTTGGAATACGCTGTCAACGAACTCCTGCCTCCTCGGTGAAATCACAACGTGGAGAGTGAAATGTTACTCGGATGGTGTCATAGTTGACTTGTATTGTTGAGTCAGATGCTCTGAATATATTATTGAGACTTTGAGGTAGAGCTGGGAAAACTAGTTAAGCCTGTCGGGTTAGCTGTTTAAGCTTGTTTAAAACAAGAGTTTGGTTTATGAATTGAGATGTCTAAAGGTAAGTAGAGCTTAAAAAGGCTGGTTTATTTAAATCTGCTTTTTGATTTTCACCTTTAGAATTTTAAACTAATATAATAGTATGAATATTATAATTAATATAAATTAATATAATAGTGTTTTAAACTAATAAACATAATAGTGTTTTTCCTTAGAAACAACTCTCACTCACAACAATCATTCAATATATTTTAAGAAAACAGATAAAATTATAATTTTAAACTTCTCCTGTTATAGGAATTACATAATTATGCAGGTCACTTTTGATTAAAAAACAATTATACGTGAAAAATTAATATAAATATAAAATGAGACCACTATAATTTATTAATCTTACTTTAAAAGCTACCATTATGAATAAAAAATGAATACTACGTTACTAAACAAGGTTTAGATTTGCAATTCAGAAGTTGTTTTTCTTGAGTAGTAATTTTTTATTTTAATATAAATAAAATTTTTAATTTAAAATTAAAAAAATAATTTACATCTTCAAAGTTAAAAAAAAAAAAAACCCAAAATAATTTACATCTTCAAGTTTAAAAAAGCAGCATGTGAGTTAGTATGATAACATTCTCTTTATAAGTTACGTTCTTATTAAGAAGTTAAAAAGAACATGAAAAAAAGTCTAGAGAAAATTAACTTTGAAAAAATTTATTATGAAAACATAAAGTTAAAGTGATTAACATATCTTAGGAGCTAGAATTCATGATACCAATTTCTTTCTATTCTTTTTGAACAAAATACTTTTCATAAGTAATTTGGTCATTTTATTTTTATTAGAAATATTTTTTTTTTCTTAAACAGGCCAAAAGCTTGTGGGCCAACCCGAGTCCACAAGCTCAAGGTTGGGCTTTGTAAATATGTCCCTTTTTTAGAACACTCGCTTCAATAGTCCAGCCTACTGGGGTCAAGAAGTGAAGGGACGACTCGTTTTCTTAACTCTACTTTGAAGTAACTTGAATATAAAGAGAGTCAATATTGACCTTTGATGAACTTGGGGTGAACTTGAGTCAAATACTCAAGATGCAATATAATAGACTCAGATAGAACTTGAGGCTTTTTTTTTTTAAAATAAAAAAGAAACTGGGTTCAAATTTGGAATTTATGCAAGTCAAAACTCAAGTCAATAATGACTTTTGAGGTATTTTGAATCTATTAGAGTAAAAAACATTATTATTAATTTATAGTTTCATTAATATATTTCCTACAAAGCAAATATTTATCTAATTTTGTTGTCATTAAAATATTGGATCTAACATTCTTTTCTTTTTTGATAATGACAAAACTTAGATGCAATAGATTAGCACATAAGATAATATACATGAAATATAATAATGCAAACAGAAAAGATTCAAGCATAACAGAAATACATATCGAAAGACAATTAATCCATTAATCAAAACAATTCAAGAATGATTTAAAACCTCGCCAATAACTCATTAATCCTTTGTTTTCCTTTTATCCTTTTGGTCTTGTTGGTTTAGATCTTCCTGATTTCTTCCTCCTTTTTGGAATAATCTGAAAGGGGTTTAGGTACATGAGGATTGAAGGTCATTAACTTTGTCCTCGTGTGAGAAGGCTATTTTGGTTAGAGCCTCAATTGGCTCTAGGACAGTTAGCACGTTGGTGGTGAGTTCTTTAATCTTGATAGAAAGAACTTAGAGGGTGGAGACAGGGATCATGGAGGGTTACAGCAAAGGGAACTTCTCTTTTGAATTTTTTTGTGCTCACTTATGAGAGGACAGATGTAATGTCCTAGATTTTGGGCCTAAAAGTATTAGTATTAACTTGAAGTGGGTAGGCCACCAGATTTTTTTTGGTAGGAGTTCCAGAAGTTTCCTAGAAGGGCGAGAGGATTCTCAGGGAGTAAATTGCAAAGCAAAGATTTTTTGGAGCCAAGAGAAAGACAAGTTAGAGACTCTGATAAAGTCTATTGGAAACGTGTATAGGAATTAGAGATGATTAAGGGCTAAAGGTTGTGCTGAGAGCCTCGGTGAGATGACTCTTGAGGCTGGACTCAAGCAAGGAGCTAATTGTAAATTTGATAAATTTCGGGTCAAAAAAGGTAGTGATAAAAACTATGCCCGAAAATTCCAGAAAAATCCTAAAAAATTCTAAGAAAATGGGAAATGAGATTTTAAGGCTCATATAGGGTTAAAAATGATAAAAATACCCATCAAGCAAATTGATGAAATTCCAGGATTTGGGCTAATTATGAACATTAGCTGAAATTGGATTATTTAAAATATGAGGAGGTCTCAGGTAACTGGAGAAAAATAAAAAATAGTACTTGAGAAATTATAACAGGTTTTAAAAATAATTTCATCCCTAGAAAGCAAAGAGGTTGATTTTAATAAAATTTAAAGCCTATTTATGCACTATTTGAGAAAAGTCAAAATAAACTATTTATAGGTTGACTTTTGACTTAAGAAAAATTAGAGAAATTTGTTATGATGAAAAGGTAGTATTGGTACCCAGAGACAAATTCTCGGAGTTAGAAACTGATTGAAAGAATTCAATCAAATTTACTTTGAAATAGATATTATTAAATATTTTAATGAATGAGCAAAGGGAAGAGCATCACTTCCTCTTTAGACATGTTATATAATTCCATTTAAACTTAATTGTGATTGAAAAAAAAGGGTATCAGAATATGTCCTAGGGTTACTGGGTAAGTTACAACCTAAAAAAGTACCCGATACGAAGTAAAATCATAAAATAGATGGAGGAACAGCTAAGGGTATGAGAGAGCATGAATTTCTCCCTATTTTCCTTCCTATTTTGATTTAAATTTAATAAGAGGATATGAATGAAATAATACATTTTGTTAAGGGTTAAGTTTGAAAGAATATATTTAAGTAATAAAATATCATGATTTCTTCATATGTGTGATAGTTGGCATGTAATGTGTTCCATAAAGTGGCACTTCTGTTGATTGAAGAGCACATCTAAGAGGGTTAGGTGGCAAGAATCAAGAATCTAAGAGACATATGGCCAACGAGATTAAATGAATGGCCAAGATCAAGCAATACATACACAAGATCAAGGGCTATGATTTAGGTAAATCTTTATAAATACCACTTCCTCCCATTCTATGCAAGATTTTAATGAATGAGCAAAGGGAAGAGCATCACTTCCTCTCTAGAAATGTTATATAATTCCATTTAAACTTAATTGTGATTGAAAAAAAAGGGTATCAGAACATGTCCTAGGGTTACTGGGTAAGTTACAACCTAAAAAAGTACCCGATACGAAGTAAAATCATAAAATAGATGGAGGAACAGCTAAGGGTATGAGAGAGCATGAATTTCTCCCTATTTTCCTTCCTATTTTGATTTAAATTTAATAAGAGGATATGAATGAAATAATACATTTTGTTAAGGGTTAAGTTTGAAAGAATATATTTAAGTAATAAAATATCATGATTTCTTCATATGTGTGATAGTTGGCATGTAATGTGTTCCATAAAGTGGCACTTCTGTTGATTGAAGAGCACATCTAAGAGGGTTAGGTGGCAAGAATCAAGAATCTAAGAGACATATGGCCAACGAGATTAAATGAATGGCCAAGATCAAGCAATACATACACAAGATCAAGGGCTATGATTTAGGTAAATCTTTATAAATACCACTTCCTCCCATTCTATGCAAGATTTTAATGAATGAGCAAAGGGAAGAGCATCACTTCCTCTCTAGAAATGTTATATAATTCCATTTAAACTTAATTGTGATTGAAAAAAAAGGGTATCAGAACATGTCCTAGGGTTACTGGGTAAGTTACAACCTAAAAAAGTACCCGATACGAAGTAAAATCATAAAATAGATGGAGGAACAGCTAAGGGTATGAGAGAGCATGAATTTCTCCCTATTTTCCTTCCTATTTTGATTTAAATTTAATAAGAGGATATGAATGAAATAATACATTTTGTTAAGGGTTAAGTTTGAAAGAATATATTTAAGTAATAAAATATCATGATTTCTTCATATGTGTGATAGTTGGCATGTAATGTGTTCCATAAAGTGGCACTTCTGTTGATTGAAGAGCACATCTAAGAGGGTTAGGTGGCAAGAATCAAGAATCTAAGAGACATATGGCCAACGAGATTAAATGAATGGCCAAGATCAAGCAATACATACACAAGATCAAGGGCTATGATTTAGGTAAATCTTTATAAATACCACTTCCTCCCATTCTATGCAAGATTTTTGGCCAACACAAGGAATGAGGGGGGAGAAATGAGGAGAAGATAAAAAGAAACCATGCAAGATCAAGCTCTAAAACAAAATATGTTCATAGTTTTTGATGTAGTTTCTATTACCTTTATTGTTGTTAAGCTTGATTATGGGTTTTTTGGGATTTTAGAAGCTTGAAACCCTAAAAAGGGACATACTGCACAAAATTATAAGTTAAGGGGAAGATGAAATTGATGTTAAAATAATGTTTAAAGGTTTAAAAGGAATGAGAATCAAGTGATTTGGTGCTGAGTTTGCAAGAAATCCAACTTCCCTTGACTTGTGTAATTTTTTGGCCAGACTTAGGCTTTGAGTTAGAGTTGGATTTTGATGATTTTGGTGCTTTCAATATATCTAGAATAAAAAATTACATGGGGTAAAGGTGAGAAAGTAAGTTTGGAAGTAATAGAATTGAAAATGGAATTTTTGCCCTAAAATCCTATAGTGTACTGCCAAGTTTGGTTGAAGGGGAATGAGTTGAATTTTGTTTTAATTTGAACTTGAAAATGGATTCTACATGCAAAATTATAT